CCCTGGGTGTTGCGCTCTCACCCCGCTCAGCCAGTGAGCGGCTGGTCTGTATGTGGGATCCGAACCCTCGGCAGGAGCACCGCCACGCTCCCAAGTGGCGCACTGTAGCAGTGTGCCACCGGGCTGGCCCATATACTGACCTTTTGTGTCTGGTTTCTTTCACTCCCATAATGTTTCGAGGTTGATCCATGTTGTAGCGTGTTATCAGTGCTTCATTCCTTTTTTTTTTTTGGCGGCTGGCTGGTATGGAGATCCAAACCCTTGACCTTGATGATACGAGGCTGCTCTAACCAACCAAGCTAACCAGGCAGCCCATTCCTTTTCATGGCTGAGTAATATTCCATTGTGTGGATATGTCACTTTGTTTATCCATTTGTCACTTGATGGATATTTGGGTTGTTTCCCTCTTGTGGCTAATGGGAACAGTGCTGCCGTGGACATTCGCGTACACATTTGTTTGAGTAACTGTTTTCCATTCTCCCCTTCCCCTCCCCCATTCTTTTTGGTGAATACTCAGGAGTGGAATTGCTGGGTCACATGGCAACTCCGTTTAGCTTTTTGAAGAACTGCCAAACAGCGGCTGCACCATTTCACATTCCCACCAGCAGTGCACGAGGGTCCAATTTCTCCACCTCCTCACCAACACTTGCTATTTTCCTTTTCCTTTTTTAAAAAATTATAGCCATCCTAGTGGTGTGAAGCGGTGTTCCATTGTAGTTTTGATTTGCCTTCCCTAATAACTAATGATGTAGAGGATCTTTTCATGTTCTTGTGGGCCATTCGTACATCTTCTTTAGAGAAAGGTCTATTCCAGTCCTTTGCCTGGAGGGAAATTTTAGGCTTTCCTGAGACCGTTTCCCAAGCTCCCATGTCCACACAGGATGTGCGCCTTCAATGATCAGAGAAGGCGACTTCAGTGTTGTCATGAGAGGGGCTGGGGTGTAATGATCCTCCAGTTGAATCCCTAATAGCAACAAAGAAGAGAAGTTAACATGGGTTGGGGAGGCGAAAGGGTCGGGGGTCTGGGCCTGGGGAGAGGGCTGATCTAGCCCCACAGTGACCTTGGATTGGGCCCTCTTTCTGTGGGCTGGCTGTGCTCATGGCTAGTAGGCTTGGGCCAAGACCAGCCCCTCTCATGCTCCTGTCCCACTTCCTAGACACGGAAGGCTGTGACCACGGCTGGCACAAGTTCCAGGGCCACTGCTACCGCTACTTTGCCCATCGTCGGGCATGGGAAGATGCCGAGAGGGACTGCCGCCGCCGAGCCGGCCACCTGACCAGCATCCACTCACCTGAGGAGCACAGCTTCATTAACAGTAGGGACTCTGGGGGAGGGGGTCGCCAGCCAGCACAGGGGGCAGGGGTGGCACTTGTAGCCCCTTTGCCAGGGCATCCCCCCAGGGTCCTGAAGATGCCACTTTTCCTTAACTGTGTTCCTTAACTCAAGCCCTGACCACTTCTGAATTCATACGTGGCTTGATTCCCTTGTGAATTCGTACATTCAGTGCATTCATTCATTCACCGAGTATTCACTGAGCACCTGCTGTATGCTGATAACAATAAAACAGGGCCAGGGGCTGGGGGTTGGGGGTGGAGAGCACCTGTGACAGACAGGTGGGATGATTGGAGGCACCAGCTTTGCAGAGACCTAGGGAGAGGAGAGTGTGGCATTAATTAAACCCGGCATTTATTGATTATTCGTTATCCCTTCTGCCCTTGCTCATCCACCCATTTATGCACGTTTCCGCATCCCGCTGGTTCTTTCCTTTGCTCATTCCCTGGTTTGCTTATTTCTTTTTCCTCAATGCAACAAATGCACGCTCATCATTGCGGCGTCCCCCCAGTGACCGGCTCCATCCAAAGTGTCTCATCCTTGCCTGCACTGCCCACCAGGGGCCCCTGTCCCTCACTCTGTCATCTCTGCAAAGATGCGACAGGGCCTGCGTTGATTCCTTCCTCTGCCCTTGTGTATGCCACAAATCGTGGCAATGCGGGTCCTAATTCCCACTGCCTTGGTGTCCCCCAACCGAGAGGGTGGTCAGGGTTCCCGCCTGCTGGGAGAGGGGCTGAGGCTGGGAGAGGGCTCTGGGTCTTCCCCTACCTCCATCAGCCCCCCACTCACTCTGGGGAGGCTCTGGATCCTCCCCCTCCCCATACCCGCCCACCCTTTCATTCCCGCCTCCATCACTTTCCCCTCCACCCCCAGCCCACCTCCAGGCTGAGGAAGTGGACAAGCCCTCTCCTTCCACGCCCCACCCCCACCTCACCTGTAGCCCCTGCCTCAGGGTGGGGCAGGGATGGGCACCCAGCCCTTGCAACCCTCCCACCCCGCAGGCTTTGGTCATGAAAATACGTGGATCGGCCTCAATGACAGGATCGTGGAGAGAGATTTCCAGTGGACGGACAACACTGGGCTGGTGAGTGACAGGTTCCCTGTTCTCAGGCTGCTGAACCATATCAGCATTGCCCTCTGGCCTCAGTTTACCCTCTTGCACAAAGCAACCGCGCAGATGGGTATGGAAGGTCCTCAGTGGCTCTGAGATGCTGGAGTTGGTAAAGGAGCTGCAGTGAAGCCCAACTCCTCGTCTCTGACTTCCACAGCCCCCAGAACGGCCACGCCCATGCAGCCCCCGTCGTCTCTCACTTGGACCCCTGCAGCAGTCCTCCCATGGTCACTTGGCCTCTTGCTACCTGCCCTCCTGCCCACCCCCACCCCACACCCACAGCCACAGGGACTTTTTTTTAAACCGAGGTGAAATTCACATAACACAAAATTAATTATTTTAAAGTGTATGATTCAGTAGCATTCAGTACATTTATAGGGTTGAGCAACCACCACCTCTGTCTAGTTCCAGAACATTTTTATCACCCCAAAAGGAATGCCCATATACAGGGACCTTTTAAAAATCATACATCATCTCAGGATCCTGCTTGCTTCAAACCCTTGCAGGCTTCCCATTGTTCTCAAGGTTAAACTCCCTCTCCTTCCACTATGGAAAACAGTTTAGTGGCTCCTCAAAACGTTAAACACAGAGTTACCATAAGACCCAGCAATTCCACTCCCAGGTATATACCCCCCAAATTGAAAGCAGGTATTCAGACAGAAACTGTATGTGAATGTTCACAGCAGCACTATTCGCAATTGCCAAAAGGTGGAAACAACCCAAACGCCCATCAAGAGAGGACTGGATAAACACAATGGGTCCATCCACACAGTGGAATATTATTCAGCCATAAAAAGGAGTGAAGCCCTGACCCACAATCTCTCTCTAAAACATCAGTGAAGTAAACCAGACATAAAAGGCCACACATGGTATGATCCCATCTATATGAAACATCCAGAGTTGGCAGATTTATAGAGACACAAAGTAGATTAGTGTTTGCCAGGGGCTGAGTGCAGGGAAGAGAATTGGGAGTTGTTTGCTTAATGGGTACGCAGTTTCAGTTTGTCGTGATGAAAAAGTTCTGGAAGGAAATAGTGGTGATGGTTACACAACATTGTGAATTAATTAATGCCAATGAACTGCACATTTAAAAAATGGTATGCTTTCTGCCAACCCCCAGCACCAGTCCATCTCCCCTCTGCCATGAAATCTGGCCTGTGCCCGCTCTCTGACCACCCCCCAACTCCACCAAGGAGCCCCTTCCCCACTGGCCTCCATTCCGTTCCTCGAACAGGACGCATTTGGTCCTGCCTCTGGGCCTTTTTTTTTTTTTTTCCCTTTTGTCATTTTTTCGTGACCGGCAATGGGATCACAACCCTCAGTGTCGCGCCCGCACCACGACCGGCAACGGGATCGCAACCCTTGGTGTTGCGCCTGCACCACGACCGGCAACGGGATCGCAACCCTTGGTGTTGCACCCGCACCACAACCGGCAACGGGATCGCAACCCTCGGTGTCGCGCCCGCACCGTGCTCAACCAGTGAGCGGGCCAGTCTCTACATGGGATCCGAACCCTCGGCGGGAGCGCCGCCACGCTCCCAAGCGCCGCACTCAACAGAGTGCGCTGCTGGGCCGGCCCCTGCCTCTGGGCCTTTGCACTCGCTGTTCCCTTTGCTTGGAACTCTGTTCCCTGTCTGGGTCCTTCCTATCCTTGAGTCGTCAGATCTCTGTTGCCTCCTCAGGAAGCCTTCCTGGACTTCCAGGCTGAGGTCACCTTTGGTTCAACTATTTACCTAACAGTGAGCCATGTGGAAAATGGATGGTGATGGGGGGTGAGACAGGAGGCAGGAAGACCAAGGAGGAGGATGTGACTTGGATCATGGTGGCAGTCACCCTCGGCATAGTCAGCACAGTGCCCATGGCAGAGATGGGAACACTGAGTCCCTATGAATTTGAGGAGTCTGGCCAGCGGAGTCCAACAGAGGGCAGTGCCAGAGCCTGGGCTGGGACGCAGGTCCCTCAGCAACTCCCTACTCCCCATTCCTGCAGCAATATGAGAACTGGCGGGAGAACCAGCCAGACAATTTCTTCGCGGGTGGAGAGGACTGCGTGGTGATGGTGGCGCATGAGAGCGGGCACTGGAACGACGTTCCCTGCAACTACAACCTCCCCTATGTCTGCAAGAAGGGCACAGGTACGCCGTGCCCCCCCTTCCTTCCTGCCACTTATGTGCACTGGTTCATCGTTTTATTTCAGTTAGTAAATGTCAGCCCAGCCTAGTTCTCACTTACCAGCCCGTTTCCTCTCACTCCTGCCAACTCTGCATGTTCTCAAACTTTGTATCCTTTGTTCATCTAAGTGATTAAAAATAGTGTCTTGTTCTTATCTTACCTTGCACGTCTTTAAGGATGAGAATAACCAACTGTTTATATTTTTGACAAGCTATTTGTATTATTTATTTTTCCTGTCACCTGCCAGTTTACCTCCTTTGCCCAATTTTCTCTCAGCTTGTTGGCCCTAAAGATTTGTAAGGGCTGTTTACATATACGAAGGAGATCATTTGCATACGTTCTCATGTTCAGTTCTCTCTCGTACTTTGCTTCATTCTTGTTTCCATTTCTTTGCCAATTTTTACTTCCTTTTCCCCTTTCATTTGCTCAGATAATTATCCTTGCCTCAGTATCTCCTTCACTCCCATCGTAGAATGGGAAGGGGTGAGGTGTGTCCAGGAAGTTCCTGCCTCTTAGGAGCTCCTGGTTTGGGTGGAGGAAACAGACAGACACAGTCACTTCTAGTCCTGTAAGATCAGAGCTGGGCAGAGGGAGGGACCTGGTGAGGAGTGGATTATCCCCAACAAGACAAGAAACCAGTTGTATTCCTCCATTTCTTTTGCTTATAACAAAATACCTGGAACTGGGTCTTTTATAAGAAAACAAAATTTATTACTTATAGTTTCAGAGGCTGGAAGTTCAAAGTCCAGGGAACACTTTTGGTGAAGGTCTTGGTGGTGGCGACAGGGACAGCAGGGTATCACATTGTGAAATGGTGGAGCAGACAGAGGGGCAGACTCTTTGTGCTCTCCTTTTAAAGCCCTCAGAACCATGCCCCTGACAAGGTCCCACCTTTCAATTACCATAATAGGATTTCCTACCCTCGACACTTACAGTGGGGATTAAGCCTCAGCAAGGTTGGTGGCACCCAATCTATGGCACCAGTTTTGCCCCAGACTTGGCTGTTTCCCTAACTGGAGATTCCTCTGTCCCCAGTGCTGTGTGGTCCCCCTCCAGTGGTGGAGAATGCTTCACTCATCGGTGCCCGCAAGGCCAAGCACAATGTCCATGCCACCGTACGCTACCAATGTGACGAAGGGTTTGCCCAGCACCATGTGGCCACCATCCGGTGCCGGAGCAATGGCAAGTGGGACAGACCCCAGATTGTCTGCACCAAACGTAAGTGGCTGCCCCCCAGAGACCCCACCCAGGTTTTCAGCTATTTGTAGTTTTTGACTAAAACATATTATTACTAAGCACATTGATCTGGCTTCATGTGTGCCTGATAACACAGCCTTGCAGATAAGGGAGAACTTATCAGCCTGTCCGATGTTTCCTGCATTTTCCCTCCCCTGAGGAGGCCTGCTGCATCAGGCCACCCCCCCTACCACCTTTCACCCTTTTCCTGTCCCCCTTTGCTCCTCTGCAGCCAGACGGTCACATCGGATACGGCGACACCACCACCACCACCAACACCACCACCAGCATCACCACCACAAATCACGCAAGGAGCGCAGAAAACATAAGAAACACCCAGTGGAGGACTGGGAGAAGGACGAAGGGAATTTCTGCTGAGGATCCAGGCAAAAGAAAGCACAACCCCCTTCCCACACCTCCTCTGGAGCCTTCACCTGGGGAGACAGAGCCCAGAGAAAATCAAAAGGGTCTGGAAGTCCCGAGCCCCGAACCACATCCCACCCCACGTAACCCTTATGTAAAAAGCTCCTCTCCTCTTTCTTACATGCACAAGGTCCTCTTGGCAGGTGTAGCCATGTGTCTGAAAGCCCATTCTCATCAGGCTGAACTCTGGGAGCACCCCCAGCTGAGAGAAGCACAGTTGGTGAAGATCATTCCTTGCATGGTTTAGTCTTTCATTTGCCAGGCTGGTTGCCAGTTGTTGAAATAAGGCTTTGGTGAGGGTGCAAGAGTGTACATTTGGATTCACACTGAGGAATTACTTTTCACACTAGGGATCCAGGCTTAGTAAACAGTTGACTGTCCTAAATCCAGGATGAAGCCTTTACAGAATGTCTTTGGTTTGGGGAGTACAAGGCTAAGCAGAAGAATACCGCTTGACCTTGATGACTTGAACTTCACCCTGAACCTCAGCCCAAGTTCAGCTTTTGGTCTTGGTGGATGAACATAGTGTGGAACTGCCATGTACTGAATCCTAGGAATGTTTTTAGAACACCTCACTCCATGCCCTCAGAGTTAGAGGTGAGAATGAGCAAAGTGGTATGTACGTGATGGAGGGAAAGCGTATTGCTAACCCTCCCAGGACTAGTCCAGCACTGCCGTGTGGTGGTTCTGCATGTGTAATGAGAGATGTTCAGGGCTAGATGAGCCTGGATTTCTTCCCCTTCCATCTCTCAGGGAGACAAAGAACCTCCTTCCTGGACCAAGAAAGTGCCAAGTTTTCTAGCCTAGAGCCCATACCCGTATCTCAAGCAGACATTGGTAGTGCTCCTGCCCTGGGCCCCACCCCTGCCCCACCCCATCCCTGTCTCCAGCCATTGCCTGGCAGACTAGAAATGCTTAAAACTTGAAGTAGTGACACCTACCTGCGGTCATATTGTAGAGAGATGTGCAGTGTTAAAACTGAAACACACACAGACACACACTTTTTTTTCTCTCATAGTTTTTAATTTTTTTAAGTGGGAGAAACTTACCCTGCATTCCTCCCCCCAATCTGCAACCTGCAAAAGACCTCCCCAAGCCAGAATCCAGCATCCAGCTCCCTGATCTCTGGCAGAAAAAATCCACAGCTTTTCCTTCATATCTGTTATGCACTCTCAACCCCTCCAGTCTGGGAAAAATCTCTGGATTAATGTTTAAAAACCACATTGGGGAATGGCCCTCTGCAGGAAAGAAAGATAAGCAAATACATGGGCCATCTAGGGTTTCAGTAGAGAAAGAATGTGTTAACTGAGCCTGTATCCCTAAGAATCATGGCTGACAACTATGGAGTAGGTACCATGCTAACAATTTACACATGGCTGCCTTGCATCTTCTCAACAGCCCAGGGCCTTAGAAACCATTGTTTTCCCATTTTACTCATGGCGAAACTGAGGCTTTATAAGGCAAATGCACTTGCTTGAAGTCACAGCCAAGACAGGAGTAAGGATTTAGTCCTGACTCCAAACACAGCTCCAGACTTCAGGGAAGAAATTGAGATGTAATTGCCCTCTCCGACATGAACACAAGCAGATTTAGGAAATGACTGAGAAGTGTAAACTGGACCCTTATCATTGACAGTGGTCTTCAATCTTCAATCTTCCCTGCTATGGACATTATCCATGGTTATACCTTATGGTTATTGTTGAGAAAGCCCAGGGATATAGGTTTGTCTTCTTTCTTTGATAATTCTTCTTGGCTTAAAAAAATAATAATAATAATAGCACATCCATCATCCATGTCACAAAAGAATTTTCTTTTGTTTGGGGGACTGGGGATGCAATTTGGGGGGGGGTCTTGGTTTATGCTCCCTGCCCTTGGACCCCTACATTCCTTGTTCTGTCCTCACCCCAGCTACATGGTGGGAGGGGGCTCTGGTCTTTTCTAAAGTGGGTGGTTCGTCTTTTGATCTTTCCCTTTGGGATGTGTGTGTGTGTTTGCGTGTGCCACATGTGTGGCATGCGTGAGAGTGTGTGTGCGTGTGAACAGCTTTGGGTTCTGCTGGTTTTGTTGTGAGCTGCAGTGTTCCGTGGGTCTGTGGTATCTGACACTGTGGACATTAATGTACTTCTTGGACATTTTAATAAAATTTTTTAACAGTTCAGCCTGCCTGTCACCTCCTGATACTTCATTCATTCACTCAGCAAGTATTTACTGAGAAGCTAATATGAGCTGTGTACTGTGCTGGGTGCTGGGGAAACAGTGGTGAACAGGGCAAACTTGGTTCCTGGGGGGTGGTCAGGGAAGACTTCCCAGAGGAGGTGGATAGAATCTAAAGGAGGAGTAACATTAGCTAGATGAGGGGGGGGGGTAAGGAAGAGAGTTTCAAGCAGAGAGAAGAGTGAAGGTAAAAGTCCTGCTGCAGAAAGGAGCATGACTCATTTGGGAAACAGCAATGAGTCCATAGTGACTGGAGGAAAGTGATAGAGGCAGAGAATGAAGGGAGACAAGGTCCAAAGCAGGCGATGGATGACTCAGGACCGTATGGTCTAAAGCAAAGAGTTTGGGCTTTACTCTAAAAATAACAATGGCCAAAAAACACCATAAGCAAAGTCAAAATGCAAATGCCAAATTTGTAAACAATTTTTCAAATCAGAGATAAGGGATTTGTTGCCATAATATATAAAGAGCTCTCACAAATCAATAAGTAAAAGACTAATAATCCAGTAGTCAGAGGCAAAAGATATAAACAAGAAGTTCACATAAAAGGAAATACCAGCTCCTAAACCACAACATATGCCCAACAAAATAACGCATTTTGCAAAAACACCAAGATACACAAGTAAAGGCATATAAATAAAACGGAATAAACAAATACATCTAACAAGAGAAGGCCTTGCATAGATCAGTAATGACAATGTGCCTGAACTGAGAATGACTTGTGATTTGCTCAACTGCCTGTACCTAAGGTCAAAGCCAGTAGTGGCTGTGGTGGTGGGAGAGGAAGGGGTGTTCAGCTTCACACATAGAATCGCAGTTGACAACCACACTGAGGTATCCTTTTTTATCTGTCAGAAGGGGTAAAGTGACAACACAATGTTTGTGAGGGATGTGCAGAACAGGTAAGTACACCTATTCCTGGTGGAGTATAAATTGGCCCCACCTCTAAGAAGAGGTGTTGATCACTATGAAAATGGCAAGCTTGACCCTTGAGCAAACAATTCCTGATCTCATCCTCCACTTAATATTTGCACTTGTGTGAGATAATGTGGGTACTTATCACTAAATATATGGAAAGCAATCTAAATGTCTGCCACTAGGTGACTGGTTACAAACATCGTGGTGCATCTAAGCCAAAAATACTCTACAGACCTTCAGAAGAATGGGAAGGAGAGATCTTTATATGCCAATGTGAAACTATGTCAAAAAATATTAAGTAAAAGAAAAGTCACTTTACAGGTATATATGGCACACTAATGTTCATAGCAGCATTGTCTGCAATAGGCAGAAACTGGAAATAACCCAAATGTCCATCAGCGGATGAATGGATAAACAAAATGTGGAACATACATGCCATGTTCATAAAAAGGAACGAAGTCCTGGTGCACGCTATGATGCACATAAACCCTGAAAACATGATGCTGAGTGAAAGAAGCCAGACACAAAAGGCTCATGGTGTATGATTCTATTCATATGAAATATCCAGAGTAGACAAATACATAGAGACAGGAAGTAGATTAGGGGTTGCCAGGAGCTGTGGGGAGGGGAAATGGGGAGTGACTGCTGATGAGTATGGGGTTTTCTTCTGGGGTGAAGAAAATATCTTGGAACTAGATAAAGGTGATGGTTGCACAACACTGAATGTATTAAATGCTACTGAATTGCACTTTAAATTATTAATTTTATGTTATGCTTTTTTATTATTTTATTATATTAACACTTTTATGCTATATTTTGTTATGTTCTTACATTAAAATGGTGAATTTTATGTGAGTTTTACCACAATACAAGAAAGTTTTATGTGATAGTTGCACACTATCATTTGTGTAAAAATGGAGAAAAGAAATATACATGAATGGTTAAGCAATGAACATAAAACTTCTTTGGAAGGACATGTAAGAAACTTTAGATGTTTCTGGAAAGTGAGCTGGCTAGTGGAGGACAGGAGAGAGAGGGACGTTTTTCTGAGTATCTGGCTTCAGAAAGTGTTCTATTTAGGTTGCCATCCCTTAGCTCTTCTCAAGTGGACCTTCCAGGTCTCCACTCTTACAGCACAGCGACCCCAGAAGAAGGAAGGTTCATTAGGCCCATTTGGCCCATCAAAATCCCAGGGACTGAGTCCCGTTGGTCTGTATGCCCACCCCTGGACCAACCAGCATTGCCCAGAAGATGGGCCACAGCACTCATTAGTGGAACCAGAAGGGGATGGAGTTAGACCCTCAACAGGAAGGAAATTTACATCCTCAAGGGAAAACTAGGAAGCTGGAAGCCTGTGGAAGGGAGACAGAATGCCAGCAGGGAATAGGCAAAAGAAACCCTTAGCACTCATCTCTGGAAACATGCCCCTTACTGTTCCACTATTCAAAGAAGCTGAGGCCCACCTGGAGCCCTTTGCAGCCTAACAAAGGGATGAACCTGTGCTTCATTTTTTTTTTTTTTTTTTCCCTTTTTTTTTTT